GCCTGCAGCGGGTCCAGTTTCGACATCATGGAGACGAGGTGTTGAAGGATGTGCTGATTTCGACATCTATGCCTCAAGGTCCCGTGTCTTCTTCTTCTTTTTTTTTGTTTTTCTTCCCTTTTCTAGAAACGAAACTGCGGTGTGGCGAAGGCCATTGGGCCTAGTTGCACTACCGCCATAGGCCAAGTTTGGCAAGTAGGTGCCTGGTTGCACTTACTCGCCAAACTTGGCGAATGCAAAATGTGTCAGACGGCTCGCCACACCGTTGACACAACTTGTGGAGAGTGAATTCAGTTTCCCCGCCTGTGCATGGCGGTTTGTGGAGGGTGGTCTTCGGACCTCGCCTCAAAACAGCTTTCTGGAGAGTGCAGGGCTTCACGAGTCGACATGGAGGAGACAATTTTTTTTAACGTTTCTGTAGAAGAAATCTCGTGGTGAGTATGTGCAACCAGCCCTCAAGTTCGACACGATTCTCATATTTTTCACTCACTCACCACGGATCCGCCAGGAAATGTGACGGATGGTGGGTAGTGCAACTAGGCCCATTGTGTCAAAACGGTGAATGTCGAAAGTGGTCTGACAGTTGTCGAAAATTTCACCGTTTCGACATTGGTGTGGCGAGGCCCTAAATTAATCTTTTTGCCGTCCATTTGTCGTTGTCTTGCTTATCATCAAATATTACAGTCATACTGAAAAAAAATAAACAAATCGTAATACTGCCATGCTCATGATTACGGGGGCTACCCGCCCTCGCATTGTGATTACAGGGCCTCGCCACATCACTCTCCAAACAGCTTTTCTGCAATGGCCCTCCCGCGCCAGCCTCTCGAAATTGCCGTTGTCAAAATAAATAAATAAATAAATAAATAAATAAATAAATAAATAAAATAAACAAACTTGCCGTTGTCTCAAGAGGTTGTCTATTGCCCCGCACAGACAGCCTCCTCTCGAAATCGGATGAGAGAGAGAACTTGTAGAGGTGTCAGGTATCGGGTTTCAAGAGGGCCCCTCCCCACGGCTCTCCCGCGCCAGCCTGCGGCTAGCTCTACTGGGAGAGTCCTCTTGCTGGCCCTCCCAGACCTCTCTCTTTTCGAGTGCTGGCAACCATATATAGGGCCTCGTTCGACACCACTACAAAACCCTGACATGTAAGGTTTTCATCGTTCCACCCCTCCCTAATCACAAAGAAAAAGAAGTCGGAACTTGTTTTCACATTTGCGGCCATAAGGGCGGGCCCTACAAAAGTAAGGGACTCGGCAGCCAAAAAGGACCTTTAAACCACCAGTACTTGGCCCAGCTATAGGCTGGCGGGCGGTAGTTGCGGGCTTCGGGGCACCGAACCGCAATGGCTGGAAGCGCCAGCCAAAATCGAAACGAAACGGTGCCCCGACGGCTGGGCAAAACATGGCGCGCAGGGGGTATCCCGTGCGGGCTTCAGGGCACCGAACCGCAATGGCTGGAAGCGCCAGCCAAAATGAAAACGAAACGGCTGGGCAAAACTTGGCGCGCAGGGGGTATCCCGTGCGGGCTTCGGGGCACGGAACCGCAATGGCTGGAAGCGCCAGCCAAAATCAAAACGAAACGGTGCCCCGACGGCTCGGCAAAACTTGGCGCGCAGGGGGTATCCTGGCTCGGCATCAATAGCTGGGCCAAGTACTGGTGGTGGAGGTGACTTGAAAGTAGAGTAGGGAGTGGCACCCGTACATCCGTGAGAAGACGTTTTTTGGTTTTGTTTTGTTTTTCATGCCAGGGGCCTGGACCCACTAGCGAAGTATTCTACGATGTGTGACGCAATTTTATGTTTTTTTGGAAAATACAAAGTGATTTTTTATTTGCATGAATGGATCGTTTTCTGATTTAAAATGAACTGACATAGCACATCAAACTATGAAGAACAGCTGTGCACCCGAATGCATGGGTTGGTAAGATCTCCTTCACGCAAGGCTTCATAGTGGTGTACCCTGGCAATAAAATGTGTCCACGAACACAGCCACCAGGATGAACAAGTAATGTGTATGGGGATATGTTCATCACCATGTATCTCATGATGCCTCTAACAGGCCATCCGACAGACGCGGAAGCGTTCCTGTCAGATCCACCACGATATCTGAATTTCACTTTTGAAGTTCGATTTCTCAGAGCCAAAAAAAAAAAAAAAAACCAAGTCTGGAAATCAACCCCCCCCCTTTTAAATCCATAAAATCTAGACTTCCTGCCCACGCAAAGCCACGAGCTATCATGTCCAAGTCTGTTTTTCTTTTTTATTCGATGCATCTCATTGGATGGAGGGGGGCATCTTTACAGTCCCCGCTCGGAAACTACCAGGCCGTCGAGATCCGATGCATTCGACGACCGTACTGTGTCACTCGAGGCCACACGTGATAGAAATCCTGAACGGAG